CAACCTCTTACACAAAGCAGTCTGAAAATCAACAGCTCATCTCTTTACTGCTGCCTATTCTCTTCTTTAACACCCATGTTGCAGCTTTTCAAGGCAGCAATGATAAATGGGAATTACAGGAAAATATCCATTGGCTTCAGCAGAGCTAGAGGCAGCCTGCTAACATCTGAGGTTTGACTTCTCTGATGCTTGATAGAGAGGCGATGGCCTAGTGGTATTATCATTAGACTATTTATTCAGAAACTCAGCTGATGTCTGGGGACCCATTTTCAATCCAGCCACGGAAGATGGTGGAATTTGAATTCAATAAAAGAAATCTGGAATTAAGAATTTGCTGATGACCATGGAACCATTAAAGATTGCTGGTGGAGTTGAAAACTGAATTAACAAATCTGGAATTAGAAACTAGTCTCAGTCATGGTAACCATGATAACAATCATTAATTCTCCTAAAAAACCCATCTGTTTCTCCACAGAAGACTCCCAACCCAAAGCTATGTTGTTGACTTTTAACTATCCTCTGGAATAGTAGAGTTAGCCACTCAAGGGCAATTAGGGATGGGCAGCAAATTGGTATTGCCAACGATGTTTCACATTCCATGAAAGAATAAAGAAGAAAGAAAAAATATGTCTAGAGTATCAACTCTTATCTAACTTAAGGGGCAACAGCCTGATGTAGATTCACTGAAACAGAGAACGCTGAAGAAACTTAACAGGTCTGGTAGCATCTGTGGAGGGTGAAACAGTTAATCAGATTTGAAATATCAACTGTGCTTTCTCTTTCATAGTTGCTGCCAGACCTGCTGAGTTTCTCCAGCATTCTCTGTGCTTGTTTCCGATTTCCTGCAAATGCAGTCATTTACCTTTCTTGTAGATACTTTTTTCCAGTATCATAACACAGCAGAAAAGCAGACCCAGTCGATTTGTGATGGTGTTTATCTCCCCGCAAGCCACGAAACCTAATTCCATTTGCCACAAAATTTGATTGATGACAACCATAATGTTTATCCTCATCCTTCCTAATTTAATCACAAACGGTCTCCTGTGAGCAGTTCTCCCATTACCCTCACAATCGTCTTAAGCTAAAATGTCTTCCTTTTCTCGTATGTTTTTCTGGATTATCTCTCACACACTGTCTTAATTTTTCTAAACTTCATTTTGGCAGATCTCCTATATACTTGGGAGCCATACTTGTTTTGAAAAATATTTTTTATTTGGTCCAGAAAATATTAAATATTTATTTATTGTATTCCCCTGTTAATCCATGGATCCACAGCATTTTGTGGCTAAAAAGGACTTAAAATATGTTCTTCAAGTATTTTCTGTTGCTCACTTGCAGGTCTATTTCTTGATATTTCTTTCCATTTGATCCAGACAGCCTTCCTTTTTATCATGCCATGATTTTTTGACTTTTCCAATCAAGTACCTTTGCATTTAACATCTTTTTTGTTCAGTTTCCAAACCCTATGCTGAACCTAATCACATCCTGCATGGACCCTTATTTTTAGATTTCTGACATAAATTGTCCATTGTCCAGAATAAGATCAAATAATCTTCTTTTATTTGAGTGATAGCAAATTGACTTAGTAAACAATCCAGAACATTCTGGACATATTGCTTTACTCCAATACTTTTCACATAGCCAAAATTTTCAGCTATTATAGTTGTATTGTTAATATATATCTTTGTAACTTATCTTCACAGTTCATCATCCATTTCCTTTCTAATGTTCGCTAACCCATGACTGTTAAATGTTTAACTTGATGACGTCAGCAGAGAGTGTCTTGAACCACTAAAGTGTGTCAGATATTGGGCATAATTGATGATCAGAAAATCAATCCCCATTAGCTCCAGAATAATCAATGCATACTTCAGTAGGCGAAAGTGCTTAATGGCAGTGCAAAGTTGAAATACTTGAAGTGATTTGACCAGTCTCGTGTAATTTTCAATTCATTCTGAGGTCGGGGCGGGGGGACTCTGGACCAATTCTCTATTTTAATCCTTTTGATGGGATTGCTCATCTCCTTCTGCATTAAGAGGATTACGATGCACACTGTTGCTGCTGGAATTATTTACTGCTGTATTGATACTGTGTGATCAGTAGATACCAGTCACTGCAAAGTGCCATTGACAGACAGCAGCCTGTGAACGCAGTACTCTCCCATTAATACATTTTAAATGGTTGAGAGTGGGGAGGAATTTCCAAGTTTGCAAAGCATTAAAACTAAAATGTTTATGATGTGTCGGATAACCCGTGCACCATTCCCTCCAACCCCATCAATCCCTACACTCTACCCTAGGGCACATTCCAAACACAATTTGCACAGTTTTATTTCATAGACTGCCCAGACTAAGCCATGTAATGCAGCTGTTGCTAAAAGATTTTAAACCATTCGATGAAATATCCTCCCTCTTAAAAAATTTCAACAGTCAGGATTGTTTCGAGGACCTAATCCCTTTTTTACATGCCGGGATGTGCCGTTCTCTCTCAGAGAATCATGGACTATGGATGTAGAAGGCCGAAAGGGAGGGGCCAGAAGCCAAACTTACTGGAGAGCTGGTCACTCCTGAGGCAGATGGAAAGTGGAGACATTGTCAAGGCTCCTAAAGGATGAAGGCCCATGTGGCATTTTCCTAAATGACCTCTGTTGTTACCTTCTGGTGTTTGCCTCCTCTACCAGTCTGTGGTAGTGGGCTGTTTTAGGTAGTTTGCTGCCACCAATCCTCATTTGTCTTTGCTTTGTCTTAGTCCTATTTAGTGATTAGTGGATGCAGTGCTGTAGAGTGTCTACAGATGAGACACCTCCTTAGATAAGAAGTTTTATTGCTTGATAACAACAGATAAAACTACATTTGGCTTGGCTTCATTACTAGGACCTGTGGGGTCTAGATGTTAATCTGTTCTCTTCAAAAGCTGAGAGTAGAGCTCCTTACCTCCACCCATTAATAAAATGAATGATATCAATATAATATGAACATTAACCCCTTCAGAGCCACTAGCTTATATACCAGCCCAGAGCTGTTGTGGATATCAGTAAATTCCTCTGCAAGAATTCCTCAGAGCATGGCTGTGCTGATTTTAGCTGTGGGGCTTCATGATAACAGCAAGGCTAGCAGCCTCTGCACTCCTTTTGACCTTCCGTCTTGGGATCTTCACCAGAGTATTGTTGAATTTCTATCATGGAGTGGGGCCAGTGCATTTCCTGTACGATTGCTGTGTGTAATTACATTCTAATTGCCCATTTTGTATAACCTGATCAAATGGCTGTCACAGATGAGAACAGGGAGAGAGTCTGCTCCTGGGAAAATCTGAAAATGAGAGCAGAATTGATGTGCCTTGGACCAAGTTTCCAAAATTCCAACAACAGGGCTTGGAAGATTCCGCTAAAACTTGCTTCATAATGGGATCTGGTTTCAAGGTTGTGCTTCAAGAGAAAGAGTTCAAATCAATGAATATATCCTGATTGACCAGGGAATGGCAGATGTGATAAATTAATTCTTCATGTCAATCTTCTTTTATAAAATCTGTAAGTAATTACAGGCCACATTTGACCACATCTGGAATCAATCAGAAGTTCAGAGATTGGTTAGTCACATGTTAATTAGAAACATTGTGCACAAAATATCAACTGAGCATGAGGAGCAAATATAACACATAAAGACAACGGTCTGAAAAATTGACTCTTTGCTGCCCAATGTTTTTAACACAACCAGTTTTGGCTCCAAAACGAAGCCTGTGGAACATGTGCACACCTCTGATATGAGTTACAGTGGATCCAAATTTTGTAAGGATGTTAACGTGAGTAGGGAGTGTACACTAAAAGCATGCAGGGTGAAGAGATCATAATATCAATCTAAGTCCACACCAACCATCTGAGGACCATCACACCCAGACCCAGACCCAGACCCAGACCCAACCCTGATAACCCTGTGTTCTCCATGGCTAATCCACCTAGACAGCACATCCCTGGACACTATGGGCAATTTAGCTTAGCCAATCCACCCAACCTACACATTTTCGGACAGTGTGAGGAAACCAGAGCACCTGGATGTTATTCAAGGTATCTTTGAAATTGGTAAACTTGAAGTTAAGACTCAGTTACTTCTCATTCGACAAGGTAATTCTCAAGGGATTTTTGAAGCAAGACTAACAGCACAAAAGTGGAACATTTTAGAAGTTATTGTTTGCTTAGATATTTCAGTCTTCAGGAACCTCAGCAAGGCAACTTCTGGAGAAATTACTGAAAGTATCTCCTAGATTTCCAAGTGATTGTATTCTTACATGTGCAGACTTCTGAAGTTTCTGTCAATTTCAATGTAATGACAACAGCAAATACTGACAGTTTCCCATCATTCCATCTGCAAACGCCAATCCATGGGGCTGACATGAAAGGTCACAGACTGGTGTTGTGAATTTCCTCATCTTTTGGTAAAATTTTGGGATCAGAAATTTGGAGACTAATTTTTATTAAAACTGTGTTTTTGACTAGATTAAAATTAAAGGCTAAACTCAGCCAATCAGAACCTTCGTAAAAAAAAGTAGTTCAACTTTTCTCTTCAGAATGCTAATGAATCATAGAATCTGTGCACTGCAGAAAGGGGCCATTCAGCCCATTGAGTCTGCACCAACCCTCCAAAGAATGTCTCATCCAGATCCCTATGCTATCTCACCACATCCCTGGACACTACAGGGCAATTTAGCATGGCCAATCCACCTAACCTGCACATCTTTGGACTGTGGGAGGAAACCCAAAGCATCCAGCAGATAGTCACCCAATGCTGGAATCAAACCCAAGTCCCTGGCACTGTGGGGCAGCAGTGTTAAGCAGTCAGCCACCGTTGCTTTGTAATTACTTAATAAATGGATCAAATGCTTCAACATTGCCTTCAGTAGGCAGCAGTGAAAACTTTATCACATTACGTGCATGCATGCATGAATAATTCACGTGTAAATGTATAATTGTCAAACTGTATTAAAGCATTGTGTATTTTTTTTTATAGATCTCAAGATGTTTGCCTTACTTTACCTGACAGCTTTTGTGTACTGTGTATCTGGCCAAGCTCTTCTGAGCAAGCTCAAGGGAGATCGAAGGTACACCAGTAATTTTTCCAAGTTAATATGTAGTGTCCCTGGCCTGCCTGGCCCACCAGGGCCACCTGGAGCAAATGGAACCCCAGGACCTCATGGACGCATGGGTCTCCCGGGCAGAGATGGAAGAGATGGCAGACCAGGAGAAAAGGGAGAGAAAGGGATATCGGGTACAGTATTTACATTTCTTTATTTTGTTGAAATATACTTTTCTAACCAAACCAGTCAAATTAGGATTAATACTAAATTTCATTTGCAATGTGCCAATCTCACTATGGATATTTGACATCTCAAAAAGACATTGATCAATGGAAATCTAAGGAATATCGAGTAAATTCTGCTGGAATATTTATTTGAATCTGAGAGCAACTTTCACGCAGTCAATGAGGGTTTCCATGCACAGGACCATGTCATTTTTTTAAAAATGTAATGAACTGAAATAAGCAGTAGATTTATTACATAAACAAAATCTTCAATTAGTGCAGTTAATAAATACACCAAAACTGACTTTAAATGTATTCTGTGTCAGTCAGTAGTTCATTTATCTGCATGTTATTGCCATTTTGCCATTTCAACCAATGATTCTAGATATATAGATAGGCTGCCTACTACCTGCTCAAAGCCAGAATGGTGCTAATTCAGGTGTTAATAACAGAAGATGTTCAAAATACTCAGCAAGTCAGGCAGCATCTGACCCTTCAGAAGGAAAATCATTGATGTGAAATGTTAATTCTGTTCCTCCCCAAAGATTCTACCTGATTTACGAAGTATTTCCAGCATTTACTGCTTTTATTTCAGACTTCTTGCATCTGCAGTATTTTGGTTTCATTTCACATATTAATCATGACCTGTGACATCATTGATCCTTGACATGATTTTCACTGTGGGCTGAGGAAAAAATCATTTGTATCTTTCCCACCAAGGGAATGTCATGAGGTGGGGATTAACAATCTCAAGAAGGCCTCTAGGTAAGTTCTAACTTTTGTCTGTGGGGCCAGGAAGACCAGGAGCAGACCACAGAGAGGAAGATTTAGGCTGTTCCGGCATCAACGTCTTCCTCCTGCTTCCTGCTACAACACCCTCGGAACTGCCCTTTTTCCACAACTTTCAAAGGCCTGATGGAAAATAGAGGCAAAGTACATTTATGTTATCTTAATGAAGCTTACTGGTTACCATGGAGAGTGCAAAACAAAGAGAAAGCATTAGTTTTCTGCTTGGATAAGTTAATGCACATCCAGTTCAATTTTGATGACGTTTTGAACCAACCTCTACAAACTATAACGAACTGCGCATCTGTGTCACTGAATCCAATCTTGGCCACAATTTTACGCTGAGACAAACTGTCCATAGCTTATGTTCAGTTTGACTCTGATCTGAGCTTCAAATCCTGTAATCCTTTCATCACTTACTTATATATTTTCCATATTGCCCACCACTAATAATGACTCAGGCACTTATTTATTCTGTTGAAATTCTTATTCTTCCATTCACTATGTTAGGCTCAACTCCTTTAACATTACCTTGTTAAACTCCTAAATTTCACCTTACATAAGATCCACTTTTTAAAGATTAAAAAGTCCAAACTGATATCGTGCAGCCCTTTATCTCCTCATTTGCACTGCATGGCCCCACACCCCCATTCCATTCATCAATGCACTAAATTTTGATGGAATTTCCTTTGTCCTCATCCAACGAGTTATATCGAGATCCCTAGGGGCATCTTCAGGCCTCTAGTTTTATGAAGAAAGACCCAATTTTAATTAAACTTTGGACCAGAAAACCTCTACTTTTAAGGTTTCATATTATGTATTATGCAGTGGCTTTTAAGGATCAGATATTATGTCACCTTTTATTTTGTTCCTCGCTTCCTCATGTTCACATTATGTCATTCGTTATTCCCCCTCAAGGGTGTTTGCTCTGTGGCACACACTGTCTGTCTCCCCCTGGAGTTTGTTCTATCTTGTGCATTGGGTTCAATATTACCAAATATCAGTTAAATGTAAACGTTGGAGAGTTTTATGGAGGGTTTCTCTCCATGAGCTTCAGTAAATCATCTCCAGGAATTCTGTATTGCTCACCTCATTATGTATGCACTGCACCTCAATGCCACTGCACACGGATTATCAAGTGTGCACCAGTGGCAGAATTACCCACCACTGCTAGTGCCAGATTTAATGCCCAGCTTTGCACCTGGTCAAATGTTGTCAGCCACAAATAGACCTTCAGAGCAGACGTAGTGGGAGAGAAATAAGAAAGAAAGGCTTCTGACAGTATGTGTATGGCATGAGTGACACTTCGTTAGAAATAGAATCTTTCACTTGTAAATATATTGCCTCTCTACATCGTCACATGTTGCATTGACTGTCATTATAACTGCAGCTGCAAGTATGGAAAGCTACAGGTACTCCTCATCTTTAGTGCTATATCGCCCTGCTAACTTTTCAATAAACATCAAATTTACAGTCATTGACTGATGGTTTAACCCAACTCCTATCTATTGGAAGTGAGTATCAATTAAGTCCTGATTGGCTTATTGTGCCCAACCTTGCACCACTCTATCATGCTGATGGCGATGTTCCTTCTGCTCATCTCCTCAGTAGCCTGCTTGCTGTTCTCAAACTCTTCAGCTCAATCACATCCCCCCCCCATTGTCTGCTCTGGTTACATAAAACTCCTTGGAACTGGTTAGTTCAGTTGGACGACAGCTAATTTGCAATGCCAATTGAGTAGCTTCAGTTCTTGTCCCAGCTAAAGTTACTATAAAGGATTCTTCCTTCTCAATCTCTCCCCTTGCCTGAGGTGCGCTCACCCTCAAGTTAGGCCACCACTAGTCATTTTTCTCTTATGAGACCACAGCCATGTACAAAACTCGGCAAACTTCAATCATCGAGTCATACAGCACGGAAACAGACCCTTCGGTTCAGCCCGTCCATGCTGAACATAATCCCAAACTAAACTTGTCCCACCTACCTGCTCCTAGCCCATATCCCTCCAAACCTTTCCTATTCATATATTCATCCAAATGTCTTTTAAAATTTGTAATTGTACCCGCATCCACCACATCCTCAGGCAGTTTATTCCACATGCGAACCACCTCTATGTAAAAAATTTGCCTCTTACGTCTTTTTTAAATCTCTTTCATTTCGCCTTAGAATTGTGCTCTCTAGTCTTGAAATTCCCCAGGTCAGGGAAAAGACAATTATCATCAACTCTATCTGTACCTCTCATTATTTTATAAACTTCTATCAGGTCACCTCTCAACCTCCTACGCTCCATGGGTCCTAAGTGTCTCCTTGGAAGCAACCAGTTGCATAAAAGAATTAGTGCCGCTGTCATGTTAATGCTTAGTGCGATAGAATGGCTATTCACCCCTTCAGTTCCCAAGTCCTGCTGCAGCAGATGTCACAGTTCTGTCATGGCTTCCCGGGGCATTTTCAGTCTGCAGCAGCACTGTGCCTCACTCATCTGCAGGAAATAGCATTGAGGATGATATACCCTGGGCTTCCTGTAGTTTGTCCACTACCTGAGCGGAGCTCCAGCTATGAATCCAGTATATGGAGGCTGCTCAGCAGCTGCTGTTCTTAACATTGTTTCTGCATTTGTTCCTTCTCAATTTCTTTGTCCCATTGCTCTGGCTGCAACCATTGGTGATGATTCCAATGAACCTGTGTGGGGATTATCAGAAATGAAACAAGTCCCTGATAATAAAAGCCATCAGCATTAACATCACACACAAATGATAGGTTCACACAGTTGTCAATACAGTGGGAGATGGAGGTCTTTGGCAAGGAGGGCATTGGAATGGCTCTATATGGATCTAACATAGGGGACGTTAATCCAATGTATGCAGAACAAGTCATGTCACGCAAAGACAGCAGGAGATTGTAAATGTGTTAGGATTACTGCAAGTTTCTGTGATTCCTCACATTCACCCCAATATCCCACTTCGCCTAAGAAAGGCAGCATTACATAGAAGAGCATATTCTCAAGCTAATTCTGTTGAAGATGGGAGGAAATCAGCTCTGTGCCCTTGGACAGTCTGTGAGATCTTGGATTGTCTTTATGAATTGGGACCTGGAGGTTGATACTTTTGAAGTTGCTTGCTTCACATGATATAATTAATGATCAGTGACTTGGTTAAGATTGCTTGTGGCCAGAGTTTGTATTCTACATCATTGGTCACTGCGTGCATTTCCATGCAGAATTCTATGGTTACAGACATTGTACACCTGTATTATAAAAACCCTGAGTAATGCAATTGTCCCTTGAGGGGCCTCACCATCAATGATGCTTCCCCTTCTTACATATTAGTTGTGTCTTCCAATGCGCTACTATTTCGCAATCTTATGTATTGAGTTGATCACCCTTCTCAATTATTGTACCCTGTGTATCCCAGCATGCTACATCCTAACTCTACAATTGACTTCCCCAGTTGCCCACCGCAACCGTGACCCTTCGTAACCCTCTGAGACTTTCAGTGAGTAGGCCTGGGACTCACCCCTGGCTGACTTGGAAGGACAGCTCTGACTGATGAGTGACCCCACCCCTGAATGATCTCTCTCCAGTTCTCCAATGACACGCCACTACTCCCCAGACTGTCTGCACTGGACCTACAGGACTGACTGCCCCACTCCACAGACTGTAATGATCTAGAATCTCTCACCCTGAATGTGCTAAGTAGCCAACTAAACATGTCCAAACCCCTGGATTGAGATCAGACAATTCCCGTAACTGATCATGTTAGGACCCCTGACTGATGATAGTCCCACTGGACTTGAATGAAAACACCCCTCAGTGGGTTTGCTGCTTGCTCTGCTTTGCACAACAGGGCAAAGCACTTAGTGGAGGTGTGACATTAACATAGAAACACAGAAGATAGGAGCAGGAATAGGCCATTCGACTCCTTGTGCCTACTCCGCAATAAGTAAGATCATGATTGATCATCAAGCTCAATACCCTAATCCTGCCTTCCCCCGTATCCCATGATCCCTTTAGCCACAAGAGCTATATCCACCACCTTCTTGCAAACAGATATTGATGTAGATTTGTGTTTGTCCGTCTCTTAGACTGATGACTGCTGGCAAACATGAAAATCTGTCTGGCTATATGACTGTACTGAAAGGTGAGACAAGTCTAAAGTACTGTGGCATTGTAAGTTCTGAATGATGTT